ACTCTTATGTAGCGAAGGAATCATATTTCAAAAAAAAAAAATATATTATATATATATATATATATATATATATATATATATATATAGCGTATATTTTTGGAGGATGTTTTCATTAAGACATGTATCATTAAATAATAATGTTTTGTGTCCTTATTCTTAATAAGAGATTCCCATAGTTTCTTCGTATGCTTATTAAAGGAAGAAAGTAAGTTACAATTTTGATGCATGAATTAATATTCCCGAATTTATAAAAATATAAATACATGTACATATATTTGATCGATGAACAGCCTAATAAAAAATATCTAAATGTTGTACAGAAACTAAAGCCACTATACGAAGAATAGAACGCTTCATCGTTGTCTATCATATTTCAGAATATATATTTGAATATATATATATATATATATATATATATATATATAACAAAATAAAATGAGAACGACTTCAGTATAAATTCAAACGTTCATGCGATCATTTTTAAGAAATGTCTCGTGAGAAAATAGGTTGTTAGCAAGTAAATATTAAAAATTGTAATAACTTTCACTTACCACCGCCTGATGAAATGCTTTGATAGACATCGAAACATGGATGCATTGATGTAGCGGGTACGTATGTTTGAACGTAATATCCTATAATAAAGTATACATATATATATATATATATATATATATATATATATATATATATATATATATATATATTAAGCGTTTCACCACAAGCAAGGCGAGAAGCCACTAGGACGCAAGGGATTACAGAAGATTTGGAGCAAGATCAGATAGGAGTGATAGAGGAAAGGATGAGGAGAAGGGTAGTGGATAGATGAAGGCAACTGGAGATGTCTATTGACATTACATTTGAATAGTTGACATATATATATATATATATATATATATATATATATATATATGTATATGGGAAACTGACAAATTATAGGATATGGAATAAAAACGAGAAGTTTATAGATCAACCATGCTTTGCTAGTTTTAATTAAATATTTCTTAGAAAATGGTATATGGAACAGAAAGCCTTTTTCTTTCATTTCCATATTTCATTTTCTGAAGAAATCTTACTTCTCTTTCTCTTCCAGTAGTTCCTTAGTGACTTTATCCTGTTGATTTGGGTGAAGTGATTAAAAAAATGTTAGATCTCTAAAAGTTTTCAGTTTGTTCCGTGTCCTATCCTGTCATATTGGCTGGTTAACTTTAATGCCTCAAAAACAAAACTGCTCTCGATTGCTGACCATAGAGAACCATCCTTGTCCCCATTAGAATGTCTGACGCTCAACTCCACGAGAGCGCCTCTTTGCGACAACTCGGTCTCACATTGACTGCTGACCTGAAATAGAACAAATACATTGGGTCAATTGTTTCATCCACCGCAAGGAAAGTTGGCTCCCTGTGAGGCGCCAGGAAATTTTTCTCGCCGGAATCGATCCTTCAAATCTACAAATCAATCATTCACCCTTGCATTGAGTATTACTGCCATATATGGTCTGGAGCCCCTTCTAATTGTCTCAAGGTCCTTGATAAAATCCAAAGATGGATATGCAATGTAATTGGCCCTGATCTGGCATCTCGTCTGCAGTTGCTCTCTCACAGACGTGCCGTTGCCGCTACTTGTCTTTTTTACGAATACTTTCATGGTAACAGCTCCGAGAAGCTGCTTTCGCTGGTTCCCAGACTTCATGAATTTAAACGTTCTACTAGGCTGGCATCTCACTCTCATCCTTTCACTGTCGAAACTGTTAATATAGCCATCTCTTCTACTCCAATCGCTTCATGTCTCGCACTTCTCGCCTGTGGAACTCCTTCCCCTTTTCCTGTTTCCCTGATAGTTATAATCTCCAACTACTCAAATGTAATGTCAATCGACGTCTCCAGATGCCTTGATCTATCCCCTATCCTTCTCTTCATCCTTAACGTATCACTCCTATTGGTTCTCCCTCCAACTCTCTCTAACCCCTTGCGTGCTAGTGGCTTCACGCGTTGCTTGCGGTGAGAAAACAAGAAAAACTTAAAATTCGGATATTTGTTAACAATACGCTATATGAAAAGAATGTGTGTGCTCACAGAAAATGATGACTTAAATTATTTTAGAGAAAGAAACAAAACATCTATTTTGTGCTAAGACCCAAGATCTTAGGCTTTATTTACATTGATCGCCCTAAGAACTGAATTATATTTACAGAATCATATCTAGGAAGATTTGCAAATATACAAAGGAAATACTATATAGCCAATTAGTAAGATCTCTTAAGATTAAGATGTATCTTTTTATCTGCGACAATCGTCTGAAATTTTATAATTATCACTAGTTTGGATTTATGGTGAAGAATTTTCTCCGATGAAATAAAAGTTCAAATATATATATATATATATATATATATATATATATATATATATTTGAACTTTATTTCATATTTTATAAAGTTCAAATATATATATATATATATATATATATATATATATATATATATATATATATATATATATATATATTTGAACTTTATTTCAGTCCTTCATGAGATTCTGATCCTTTGCAATGATTAATAATGGTGAACATTTCATTTTCGTTTATGATCGATTTCATCACGATTCTTCTGTTAAGCTTGGAGATTAATTATACATTATTATTGTTCGAAGTAGAGTCCTATAGAGTTATAAAAACGTCGGTGAATTCCATTAGGATATCTTGAATCATTTCTATGACACAATGGTTCAAAGTTTAATCTAACAAAAGTACAATTTTGCTTTTACACAATTTAGACAATTTGCTGTTACACCCATTTATATATATATATATATATATATATATATATATATATATATATATATATATATATATATATATATATATATATATATATAATTGATATAATCTGACAGAATTTAAAATATATCAGGGAAATTTTGCAAATTTGATTTGACATGTATCCGGCATTATCTGAAAATCAATTTTTTGCATAAAATTGAAAATGTACATGATTGAAAGGAAATGGAATTTATTTTAAGTATCTTAATTTTTTAATTAGATTTTGACTTTTTCCCGTTTTAAACAGCCGATATTTTTTTCTGGACGTATCAAAGTTCTAATATCACTCAGTTCTTACGGTCTAACTTCCAATGTTTCATTAATAATCGATGCTCGACTTTTCTTTCATTTTTTACGGTCGTAACAGAAGCCATAGTTTGGATGGGCATATTGGTTATCGGTTCCGAATAAGACATCAGAGAACAAGGTTCGAGTACCAGTTACATTAATTTACGCGCAAGCGGCGCAGACTAAATCCTGTAGCCTTGGTTGGTAACCAGTCTACCGGAGAAAGAAAAGGTAACCGCCTGCGGAACAAATCGTCTACGTAGTCAGTTATGAATTGGAAGGTAAATGTTCGCCCAAGCATGTATCACGTATAACACTTAACTGACTGACATATTTTTATTAATAGTCGAAGGTGGGGAGAATGAGATCCCTATTAGGATCATTTAAAAGCATTGTAGAAGAATAAAAGTCGTTAAAGTGCGAACAGTAATACCATATATGTTCTCCAAGCATCCAAAAAATTTAGGAGCAAATACTGAAGTCTAAACTGGAAGGAAAATGGAACGCGGCAAAGGAGTTGAAATTGGCAGAATAGCGTCTTGGTGAGGGTAGTATGATATTTGAAAGACCCGAAACTGCCCAATGATCCAAATCAGAACATCACTAATCACACCTTCTAGCGCTAAAGAGCGTATATTGAAGGAAGTTATACTTTCATTCAGTTTATTTACGGTTTAATTAGCCTGTATTATTTACGTACTAATTTAATTGTAATGGAGTCATTGTAGTTGCTTGTTGATGAGTCACTGATGACTAATATAATATTTCAATATATCCCCATGTTTTTGCCAAATTAGCATATTTACTTCGTCACCCCACTGAGACGTGATGAGACACAAAGTTTACTGTGAGGAAACCCAACGCTTACACCGGTGCTAAAACCAAAAATTTCCCAGTCCCTGCAACCTTCGGTTGAGCTGGCCTCGTTAGTAATTACCGAGGCCCCTCTCTAGAGCAATGAGGATAGTGCGGCCTTGTGAAGATTTTTCCACGAGACCGGGCAACTAGCAGTATTTATTTTCTATAGCCGCAAGTGAGTCGCACACCGCCGAAGAGGGAGACGCAACTGAGACATAATAAACCCTACCCGGCATGCGCCAGTAAAAGTTTGGTAAATTAGTATTTTAGACGATATTTTGCTAGAATGTATCATACGTATTGAAGCCAGAATGTATCCTACACATTGATAAGTCTACTATTCAACAATGACTGATGTTGCCAGGTATATGTTGGACAACACGCCTGTCAAGACCTTGATTGGTCAGCTCTTTGTAGTCAGCATCGTACTGACAGGTAAATTATAAAATGACCGAACTACCAAACTATTTCGTAGATAGAGAAGATCGTCTTTAGCAAACGAAGAAAACGCGGGAACAGTACCAAAAATGTGCCTGGAAACATCAAACAGTTTATAAATACCCATAACTCTCGCCTTACACAGAGTTCACGGGACTCCATCGTAGGTCAGCAGCTCTAGAGTGTGAAGATAAATACAGTGACTCGTGCTTTTCTATTTTGGGCTAAGCACGGTCGGCTAAGCATCTGCACATTTTAGAAGCAGTATACATTAAATTGAATCGATCGACTTTGTGCCGACAGAAGGAGAAATTCATTCATTTCTAATGGCCGATTTGTGAGTTCATATTTTTTATTTTAAACTCACTGGAACTGTTTATTCTGTTTGTTTTTGATTTGCCATTTTCTCCCTTTTTTCTCCTCCCCTCTTTTAATATTCCATAGTATTTTAATCCCAGTTACTCGTTAGCACCCAGTTAGTCTATTATGTCGCGATTCTTGTTAATGATTCCCGTTACCAGTCGCTTAAAATTCTGCTGATAAGGTACTGGCTAAGAAGGTTACCTTTTAAAGGATAAATTTGTAGTTTGGTTTGTTTAAAATTAAATATAAGTTGTTATGAACAGAGGAATAGATAGATAGATAGATAGATAGATAGATAGATATGAACAGATAGATAGATAGATAGATAGATAGATAGATAGATAGATAGATAGATAGATATGAACCGAGGAACAGATAGATAGATAGATAGATAGATAGATAGATAGATAGATAGATAGATATGAACAGATGAATAGATAGATAGATATAAACAGAGGAATAGATACATAGATAGATAGATAGATATGAACAGATGAATAGATAGATAGATATAAACAGAGGAATAGATACATAGATAGATAGATAGATATGAACAGAGGAATAGATAGATAGATGTGAACAGAGGAATAGATAGATAGATATGAATAGTTAGATAGATAGATAGGTATGAACAGAGGAATAGATAGATAGATATGAATAGAGGAATAGATATGAACAGACTGAGTTAGATAGATATGTTCAGAAGTATAAATAGATAAGAACAGAGGAATACACAGATAGATAGATAGATAGATAGATGTGAATAGAGGAATAGATAGATAGATATGCGCAAGCTGAAATAGAGATAAAGAGATAACGTGTTGTGGTTGTTTGAAATAGCGCGAAAGATAATGTGCTAGACTGATATAACAGAGAGATACAGCGATAGACATGCACTGAATGATTTAGATAGATAAAATTGGAATATAGTTATTAACATAGATAGATATATAGATAGATATATAGATAATGAACATAGATCGACGGCTAGATTTATAGATAAATATGAACTGACTAATATAGATAGCAACTGAATAGATAGATAGATAGATAGATAGATAGATAGATAGATAGATAGTGGCCACCTTTTTCTCTAGCTCACACGGACTTGACGCGGTCTTTTTGTATCATCCTTCAGCGTCAGATTGAATTGCTGGAGGTCCTGGCTGACGACGCCATCGTAGTGGCTTCGTCGTTTGCTCTGTGGTGTAATGATCATGTCGTCTTCCCAGCTACTCGTTGGACAGGGCTGGACTAGTTCACCACCAGAATGGTCCTGAGAGCGCGGGATTCGAAGCTATGGACGCAGGAGGCGCGGGTCTTGATTACAAGCCACGCCTCTGCGTCGTATAGAAGCGCAGATTAGATGGCGGTGTAGACTCGTAACTTGCTGCGCCATACTGGATTCAAGAGATCTCATGATCATACCTGCAGCACGCCCAACCTTTTCCGTGGCCCGGTCTCCGTTATTGGAAATTTCTGAGCCCGGATAGTGAAAAGAATAAATGAACTCGTCGACGTCCTTGCCAATTATGATGTGTGGAAAAAGAAAAAATAATGGGAATAATGAGAATGCACAAAATGATTTAGATAATATAGTAATCAATACCCGCGCCTCCTGTGTCCATGGTTTCGAATCCCGCGCTCTCAGGACCATTCTGGTGGTGAACTAGTCTACTCCTGTTCAACGAGTAGCTCTCGGGAAGACGACCTGATGATCACCCCACAGGCCAGACGACGAAGCCGCTACGATAGATAGAAATATAGGAACAGACTGAGATAGATAGATAGATAGATAGATAGATAGATAGATGAATATGAACAGACTGAGATAGATAGATAGATGAATGATATGAACAGACCGAGATAGATAGATAGATAGATATGAACAGACTGAGATAGATAGATAGATAGATAGATAGATAGATAGATAGATAGATAGATATGAACAGACTGAGATAGATAGATATGTTGAGAAGTATAAATAGATAAGAACAGAGGAATACACAGATAAATAGATAGATAGATATGAACAGACTGAGATAGATAGATAGATAGATAGATAGATAGATAGATATGAACAGACTGAGATAGATAGATAGATAGATAGATAGATAGATAGATATGAACAGACTGAGATAGATAGATAGATAGATAGATAGATAGATAGATAGATAGATAGAAATATAGGAACAGACTGAGATAGATAGATAGATAGATAGATAGATAGATATAAACAGACTGAGATAGATAGATAGATAGATAGATAGAAATATAGGAACAGACTGAGATAGATAGATAGATAGATATAAACAGACTGAGATAGATAGATAGATAGATAGATAGATAGATAGATAGATATGAACAGACTGAGATAGATAGATAGATAGATAGATAGATATGAACAGACTGAGATAGATAGATAGATAGATAGATAGAAATATAGGAACAGACTGAGATAGATAGATAGATAGATAGATAGATATGAACAGACTGAGATAGATAGATAGATAGATATGAACAGACTGAGATAGATAGATAGATAGATAGATAGATAGATAGATATGAACAGACTGAGATAGATAGATATGTTGAGAAGTATAAATAGATAAGAACAGAGGAATACACAGATAAATAGATAGATAGATATGAACAGACTGAGATAGATAGATAGATAGATAGATAGATAGATAGATAGATAGATAGATATAAACAGACTGAGATAGATAGATAGATAGATAGATAGAAGTATAGGAACAGACTGAGATAGATAGATAGATAGATAGATAGGTAGATATAAACAGACTGAGATAGATAGATAGATAGATAGATAGATAGATAGATAGATATGAACAGACTGAGATAGATAGATAGATAGATAGATATGAACAGACTGAGATAGATAGATAGATAGATAGATAGATAGATAGATAGATAGATAGATATGAACAGACTGAGATAGATAGATAGATAGATAGATATGAAGAGACTGAGATAGATAGATAGATAGATAGATAGATAGATAGATAGATAGATAGATAGAAAAAGACTGAGAGATAGATAGATAGATAGATAGATAATGTTCAGAAGAATAAATAGACCAGAACAGAGCAATAGATAGATAGATAGAAAGAAAGGAAGAAAGGAAGAAAGAAGGAATGTAACTTACCCTCTCAGATTCCCTAACGGATACGCTCACAGTTTGTTTTTTTTTTATGATGAATAGACATGAAGAAATGCGTTCTTGGATGCTGCCAATTAAGTGAAAGAATTCATGTCGCTAAACTGGGAGGAAAGTCTTTCAATATAACCATCATAGTTGCATATGCACCGACAGCACAAAGTAAAAGAAACTGAAATGTGTTACTGTGCAGTAGTCAACTCCAAGGCTCAATGCAAATCGCAAGATATTACAATCTTCATCGGATATTTGAATACCGATTTAGGCAAGGAGATAGTTGGTGAAATAGATGACAAATTCGGACTAGTAACCCGGTATGAACGCGGAGGAGAATAGTTCCATTGGTGTTGTTGGCAACATCTGGTTCAAGAACGTCCAAGATTTGTATGGACATGTGTTATGGGATCTTACCCATAATAATAATAATGGACTATTCCATACTTAATAAATACTGCGCCTCAGGAGTAGGCAGGGAGTCAGTCGTTCACCTCTGAACTGACTGCACGGTTCAACTCTCTTCCTATTGGCGAGAGGAACCCGAAGGAGGCCCTAGAACCCGAAGGGCGGAGTCTCCTTCGGGAGGTTCGCTCGGCCCAGAACCCGTTTATACGGGTTCAAATGGCCGAGGGCGGAGTCTCCTTTTGGCCGACCCTAATGGCTATTTTTGGGAATGCCCACGTTAAAAGGCCTTGTGCCACATGACACCCTCGTGGGGGGTGACTGAATATTGTCAGTCATTCAACTCTGAACTGACTGTTCCGGTTCAACTCTCTTCCCACGGGCGAGAGGAACCCGAAGGAGGGCTACGCCGAAGGGCGGAGTCTCCGTTTAAGCGGGGGGAGGTTTCCCACGATTAAAAAAGGCCTTGTGCCCAGAACCCGTTTATACAGGTTCAAATGTCTGCACGGTTCAACTCTCTTTTTACGGGCGAGCCTAATGGCTTCGGGGAGGAATGCCCGTTTATACGTTAAAAATGGGCCTTGTGCCACATGACACCCTCGTGGGGGGGTGACTGAATATTGTCAGTCATTCGCGTCTTGATCGGCTGTTCGGGTGAACTCTCTGCCTTCGGGCGGGGAGGAACCCGAAGGAGGCTACGCCGAAGGGCGGATTCTCTTTCGGGGAGGTAAACCGACCTTGAAACCGTTTATACGGGTTCAATGGGCATCTTTTTGGCCGAGCCCACGGGCTTGGAGATCTCACGTTAAAAAGGCCTTGTCTGACGTTCTAACCTTTTGGTGATTCAGATGGGAATCTGGTTAGATTCGATATCAGCCTCGTCGTTCCCAATTCGCTTCCAACGTCTGGTTACCAAAGTAACTGCGTTGATCTCCAGTCTGCCTACCCACGTTGTGAATTGATCTTAGGCAGACGAAATCAATCAGTCGTCAGCGCTGTAATGCAAGTTGGGTCCAAGCGGGGGTGGTATCGCACAAATATGTATAAAAGAAATAAAATGATAACTCAAAAGTTCAAGGTATCAAAAAAAAAGCATAACAAACTTTATGTCTAGTTGCTGGATACATAGGACTGCGTCTATCTCCCGACCCGTTATATGGATTGTGACACGTTGTCTTCCGTTAGGCGAATTTTAACACTTCAAGTTGTCTGCTCTTTAAGAAATTGGTTCTTGGTGTGTCTTCAGGCGAAAGTCGAAAAGAACTTATCTTGGTGGTTTGGATCTAAGTCGCTCTTCAAAATAATTTGTTCTTGGATTGAAGATGAGTTCGGAAATTGCGCGAATCTTGGTCAGCTGATGCGAGGCCTGCTTCTGGGAAACCGGAGTCCGAACTTAACTCTGGAACTGATTTCTGCTCGCTGCGACTTTGCTTATATGGACACCGACCAAAACCGGGGTGGGTTTGTCGGCGTCGGAGGCTCCTCGATAATTCTAAATACATATCCACTTCTTTTATTTTTGGTTAGGATTTTTCCACTTCTTCCATTTTTGGGAGCTTTCTCCTACTTCCACCTTCTCACCATACTTCAGAGGGGCGTGAACTGCCCTCCCCACGTCTTCGTAGCAAACTCTCATACCCATCCTCTAGGTGGGCGGCGACAGCTTCCTCCTTGCGTCACATGATCACCACTCGGCCAATGATATCCAGCCGGGTGTGTACGATCCCGCGGGCTTTGTTTCAGGGGAAAAAATACCTTGCTTAAAAAAAAAAAAAATTATCTTTTTCTTTTCTTTTTCTTTCTTTTAATCGCAGTTCTCATTTTCTCTGGCCGCCAATAGAACAATGCGACCGGTGGTGGTCATAACTCTTGTTCTCACCTGGACTTCGTCGGTCAGATTATCGCTAATTATCAGAATGGGTGGTCGACTTAACACAACACAGTCATCCGTCGCCTCGAAAAAACAGTTCCATGGTTCTAGTCATACTTTGGTGCAAATTTCTGATAACATAGTTCTGTTATCGCAGCCAAAGATGTCTTGTCAAAAAAAAACGGTCAGCCGTTACTTCGTGTGCGGCCTGGCAGACGACACAGTTAATTTTTCATATCTATCCAAGGCCCTGTATTTCACATGTTCTTTGTCAATTATCAAAATAACATTTTCAATTGGAGTTTTTCTTGGCTAGTCGGTCTGTGGTTTGCTAATTAGATGTTTTCCGCATTGAGCTGCTCTTATCTATCCCCCGATAACACCAAGTTCGTCAACATTTGCTATTTATCAAAATAACATTATCAATCGTCTTTGGTCGTGGGTGTTTTTTTCTATCATCCACGATTGCGTCTCGCCTCTCTTTTCCTTTCTTTCCTTTCTCTTTCCCCCGATAACACAAGTTCGTTGACAGTACACAGACGATTCCCCCAGCCACCTAGAATCCTTCTGCCATTGTAATGACACCTTTTTCGCCATTTGCTATTTATCAAAATAACATTATCAATCGTCTCAGGTCGTGGGTGTTTTTTCTATCATCCACGATTGGGTCTCGCCTCTCTTTTCCTTTCTTTCCTTTCTCTTTCCCCCGATAACACAAGTTCGTTGACAGTACACAGTCGATTCCCCCATCCACCTAGAATCCTTCTGCCATTGTAATGACACCTTTTTCGCCATTTGCTATTTATCAAAATAACATTATCAATCGTCTCTGGTCGTGGGTGTTTTTTTCTATCATCCACGATTTGGTCTCGCCTTTCTTTTCCTTTCTTTCCTTTCTCTTTTTCCTTTCTTTTCTTTTTGCCCTGGTAAGTGGTGTCACACTTGTGCCACATGACGCCCTCGTGGTGGGGTGACTGAATATCGTCAGTAGTCGAGTCAAGAGTCGAGTCAGAGGCAGTTCGAAACAGAGTTGCGTTCAGACAATTACTGCAAGACATTGGAATAGTGATACTGGTCGAGACTACATTGTTCTCTCTACTAAACCTGATTGTTCATACTAACACTTCTACTTCTCGGTATTTATCTGTGTTATTCCAAATCTGTGTTCTTTGTTGGTTCTACCTTGGACTATCACCGTGTTACAAGAAACCGGACCATAACAACATGGTGAAGCACAAATGGAGAAACAAAAAACCAAATCGACTACATAAGTATCAAAAAAGAGTTTTATGAATGCAGTTTTACACTGCAAAGTATTTCCAACTGCCGACTACGAAAGTGAACACCTTCCAGTCATATCTAAATTTAAAGTGAAATTAGTGAAACTGAAAAGACCCAAGGCAGCAACCCAATTAAAATACGACAGAATCTTGAACGACCCAAATTTGAAGTAGAAATTTATTGGCAATGTGAAAATCAGATACGAGCGACAAATGGAAAATTGAAAGTCAAGGTGCGACATTTTCAGAGAAGCTTTTGTAACATCAGAAATCGATCTCAGGCCCAAGGAAAATAGACGAAGAAAATAAATGAATAGATGACAGATGAAATTCTCGACATGATGGAAAGGAGACACAAAACTATGTCAAGGCACGGGACAGAATATATGACACTACACGAAAAAAAAACAAACAAAGAAACAAATGCAGGTAAGCTATAGAGGAATGACTCAACGAAAAATGTGCATAAATAGAAAGAATGTGTATCACAGAGAAAGCAGATATTCATAAAAATAAGAGAACAGGACAAGACATCCACATCAACAGGCAGCATAAAATCCAAGAACGGAAGGATGATATTAGAGAATGAAAAACTTCTTCAGAGAATTCTTCGGAGAATGAAAGAATGTATGGGAGGCCTCTTCCACGACAAAAGAGAACAAGCAGCAAAACACAGAAATATAGACGGAGCGGAAATATTAAAATCTGAAGTGGAATCTGCACTGAGGAAATTGAACAGAAAGAGACAGGGCCAGACAGAATTGTAATAGAGATGCTGACAACCCTAGATGGTTTCGGCATAGATAATATTACAGAAATCATACTTATTATAAAACCCAAGTTGTGTGTGTGTGTGTGTGTGTGTGTGTGTGTGTGTGTGTGTGTGTGTGTGTGTGTCTGTACGTTTATATATTGGATCGGATTTCCTACATTTTTCAACAGATTTCAACAAAACGTCACAGGACTACGTAAAATTACCTTGCGGTGGTTCTGACAGCGCCAAAAATTGGAAAAACACAATTGTTTTTGCACAAAATCAATTTGAAAACACGATTAAGAGGCATTGCAAGAATGAAAGGGGGACAACTCATATCGAGTTATACTTTTTATAAAACCCAGGTTGTGTGTGTGTGTGTGTGTGTGTGTGTGTGTGTGTGTGTGTGTGTGTGTGTGTGTGTGTGTGCTTGTTTATATATGGGATCGGATTTCCTACATTTTTCAACCGATTTCAACAAAACTTCACTTTTTGGGGGCCAGGTCGTGTTTCTTACTGTCTTGCACACTTTTTCTTTATTTTTACATTCAGAATGCTTTAAAAATTCCATTTACAAGACAATTGTTTATAATAAAATTCTATTCAATCGATTGACTCATAACGATTGTAAACAATGTTTTTGTTTGAGTTTGGGTTTGACCAATTCGTAAAAAAAAAAAAAAAAACAAAAAAAACAA